TTTCTTTTTGTTCCCATCCGTGAAGAATAAACTGCGTGGTCAACGATTTTCATCGCCCGAAGAAGCTATTGAAGCGTTCAAAAATCATGTTTTGGAGATACCTCATTCGGAATGGAATAAATGCTTTGAAAATTGGTTTAAGCGCATGCAAAAGTGTATCGATCATCGTGGCGAGTACTTTGAAAAACAATAAAAATATATTCGCACCTTAACTATTTGTTTTTGTTCCTATTCCCGAAATATAAATAGTGACCCTCGTATATTGCTCAAATCACTCAGTAAACTATCTTTAACTTAAGCTGGTAAGTTTTTTTCGTGCTCACCTGATTTGACGCCTTCGGATTATCATTTATTCCAGTTGATGCAGCATGCTTTAGCTGGACAGTTTGTGAGATGTCAGCAGAGATACGAAAATGACTTGACAATTTCATTGCTTTTAAACCGAGATGTGTTTTTTTTTCGCAACAAAAACTTGTCAGAAAGGTAGCAAAAAGTAATAGGAAATATTTTAAAGATTAATTTGTAGTGCATTATATTATGTATATAAATAAAATAAAATTAGAAAAAAAAGACTAAAACTTGCATATTAATATAATATTTCACCGCAAGAATCAATATCTTTTCATTTTATTTTATTTTTTCTTTACAAACAGTGCACTAAACATGTAAATTTAGATAGAAAAGGAAGAATAAAAGAGAAGAAGAAGGTATAAAAAGCACTTAATGTATATAAATTTGTGTATATATATATATATTACCCGCACGGAACAAAAACCTCTAATGGACTCAGTAGACGTCCATCATGGAAATTCAAAACCTCCATTAGACGTCCACGTAAACTCTTATGGACTTCTACTAGACATCCATAGTTCCGCATTTGCTACTTCCATTCGACATCCATTAGACATACTCATAGATGTCATATGGATGTAATACAGAGTAATTATGGATATTTCAAAAAACTGATGGATGGATAATGGATATCCATTAGAGGTTATATAGATGAATAATGAACATCTACTAGAGATGATATAGATGATTTATGGATGTTTCTAAAATATTTCTAGCTTAATTATTAAAGAAGACGATTGGAAACACACACAAAAATGCAGAAATTGTAAAAATTTTTTCTGTTTTTATTGTAAAATTAATAATAATCGCATATACAAATAAAAAATATACAATTAATATAAATAAAAAATATTTTGCAATAACGCACGAATATATTAATAAAAACTTAATAAAAGAAATTTTTACTGAATTTGCAATTAAATATTTAATAAAATAAAATACGTTGAACTCTGAAAACTATTTGACTTATTATATACTATTATAATTAATGTAAATGTATATGGATTGTCCATCTGAAACATACATAAAATTTATTAATAATACGTTTTATTACCGCTTACATCTTTGTGTGTCATCGAGGCAATGTGAAAATTTCATTTACGTGCAATAGCCTTAGGGCCTGAGGGCCATTACACGTGAACAAAATTTTAGCATTGAATTCATGACACACATGTTAAATTTTTATTTATTTTATTTTTTAAAAGTCTCAGATCTGCATATATAAGTTATTTGAAACTTGTATATTGCGTTTCATCATTGACTTCCATAAAAATAACCTGAAAATAAACTGGATGTATTATTATTGCACATAAACAAAAATAGTGACAACAAATTAAAATTATCAAGCTATGTGGTATTAAATAAAATATATTTTTTACTATTTTATAATAATGTACTTTTTCTTTTATATATTATTAATTTTATAGATCTTTTATAGATTTTACTCTATTATAGATTATTAAGATCTTTGATAGATTATATTAATTTGAATTTTCCATTGATGAATGGCGATCGGGTGAACCATTGTTTTCGTCTCTAACGGTCCGCTTTTTTTCATTATTGTGTCTTGCCTTGGAATGCCTAAACCACTCCATGACTCTTCGTTGTATTTTTGTTCGATCAGAATCCGAGATATTGTGAAGTATGGATCCTGAAAATATTTAATGTTTAATTTTCGAGATATTTCACCGTTCGATACTTTTTATACACTCTGTATATATATATTCAAAGGCATTTTTGTTTATAAATTAATTATTTATAAACAACGTATAAACTTACTGAAAATAACTTTTATTAACTCTAAATTTTGTAATGGATATTTTCCACGTCGGCCTTCCCAATTGTAATTTTCCGCTAATTTATTTGAGAATACTTTATAAAGTGTCCTCTTTACCGCATCATCGACGCCTGTTCCACCAATTGCTTGTATATATGCGCGCTATAATAAGAATAAAAGTAATATTATTATTAAAGTTAATAACGATCTCTTTTTCTTAACAGTAATTTCCAATTATTTTTCATAATACATTTTATTGTGAATTGAAACGTTTACTGAAAATTGATTATGCAATAAACTTATAAATTTGATAATAATTGGAAATATATTATATATAGGGTAAACCATTTATAATGTTAATGACAAAAATATCTTGTAACATATGCATTCAATTAAGAAAAAGATTTTAGACAAAAGTTGCAAGTACCAAGGGGGACATATATGATACCATACCAGTTATTTTTTTGCTCTTTTGCTTTTTTATCGAAATATATGTAAAGGTCACTTTCGATTTTTTAAATGTTGTTGGGTATCCTCAATTAAAAAAATAAAAGTGACCTTTATATCTTGATAAAAAAAAGGCTAAGCAAAAACTATATGGTCCTATCATATGTCCCTCGTATTAAAACCATGACACTAATTATTGTTATATAAGACATTTCTTCATATGTATATTTTAGGATACATACACGGTCTATCCCAAAAGTTCCCGAAAGTTCGGGAACTTTTGGGACAGACCGTACATTTTACAAAATTTACAAAGTATCGTTAACGTTTATGAATGGTTCACCCTATGTATTCAGTTACTAAAATATATAGATATGTGCTAACTTACTATTTCAGTGTTCTCTTGGGAATTAGCAGTTTTTAAAATTTCCTCAATTTCCGTTAATTGGGCTCTAGTTTCTAAAGGAAATCGATTTTCAGCGCCTTCGTAAGAAAATCTCGTATTTTCACATTCTGTGCTTCTGTTGCTTTTGTCCACTAAAATATCCAATAGAGATAGTGCTTGTCTCATATCGTATTTTACAGTTGCTATTTCTCTAGTCAATCTCTTTAAATGATCCACTGTAAATAGCATTTTTAATTATTAATAAACGAATAAAATGTGTGTGTATATATATCATGTAAATTTCAAAAATCTACATTTTCCGTTTATTAGTAAAACTCTATTAGTATATCGAAATAATATATAGTTTTGTATACTATATATTATTATTTTATATACTATATAAAAGTTCATATGTGTTATTTCGGTATATAGATAGTAAATAGAGGTTTACTAATAAAAAGAACAAAATGTAGATTTTTGAAATTTATACTACACACACACACACACCAGTAACGTATTATTGTATGCATATAAATGTATGTATATATATATATATATATATATATAAAACATAAATTAAAGTTGCATTACACATGTTGATTTATCAAGAAATACAGCAGACAAGACGATGTATTATTTTGATATATGTATATAATTATTTTAACAATAAAAAGAATATATATAAAATGTTGCTTTTCGAAATTATTTGAAATTAATAGTTTTAATTTTTTTTAAATCAATAGTTTTGTACAATATTAAAATATGTATAAATTATAATTATTTTTTTTTCATTTTTTTCAAATACACACACACACACAAAGTTAAATACCCAGATAGCACAAGATATTCGAAAAGAATTCATTTATATGTCATCAATTTTGAGTCCTTTTTCAAATGCATATAAAATTCATTTTAAAAATGAATTCTATACATATATGTATAACTATGCATAAAATTTAAACAATTAATTGTAGTGAAACATTACATATAATAGATGCTTTGAAACTATACAATACATGTATACATATATATATATATATATATATATATATATATATATAGTTACGTCGAGAATCTATTATGTATAAAATCATATAATATTTAAAAAAATTATTGTTAAAATATGCCTTATATTTTATGCCTTATATCTTTATTATATATTTACTTACTAATTGCAGCTTGTGAAGACTGATCATTTAAATTGTTATTTTCTTTTTCCTCATTTGTATATCGATTTTCTCGCGCATATATGTTAGATCGATCAACTTCCTTAATTTTATTAACATGTCGATTATGTACTACATTGTTTCGATTTTTTTCTTTTGTAACGATGCATGGTTCTTCATCTATTTCGTATGAAGTATCGTTGTCATTTGCATCTGTACATGAAATATATTATAAATATACATTTAATGTAAACACACTTTATGTGAGTATAGCAGGTATTATTATAATTTCTGAGATATTTTATTAATATTGTTATTATGTATTATTTTAAATGTTTCATGTGTGTATATAAAATTATGGAATACTCTTTTAAATTTTTTAAAATAATTTTTAACAATTAATTCTTTTTAATAATTAAATACTGTGATATTTTTTTACAAATATGAAATTTTACATTGTATTATATTATTACATGGAAATATGTAATGAATTTACTCACCTTGTTGAGATGATGTGGAGTTCAAGTTTGAAACTTGTGATGATCCTTTGTGTTTTTTTGTAGAATCCGAAAAATATATAGTGGAACCTGATGTATTTTCACATTGAACTGCTTCATTTGTATTGTACAGTCGTTGACCTTTAATTTGATTAAACACAATATGTGTTATATGCATAATAAAATATATGTTAACACACACACACATATAAAAGATATGAATTTTATATCTATATACATGTAAAATTTATAGTTTTTCTATTATGTATTTAACATATAATATATATATATATATATATATATATATATATATATATATATATATATATATATATATATATATAATGTATTTAACATACATATATGCAATATTAGAATTATTCATAATTACGTTTCACAGGAGGACATGGAGCAGACGGTAAAGTTGCACTTGTGCCCTCTTCTTCGCTTTCGGATGAATATATATCTTTTCTCGCTCTATATTTTCTATACTTTTTCGTCTCTTTTTCAGTATCCATATCTGATGTATATAAGGCCTTTTCTGCTACCGCATCAGCTTTCTGTAAGGACGCTGAAAATGTTAAAAATATATTAATATAAGTATAATGAATAAGTAAAACTGAAGCATCATAAAAGCTTTTTTATTTAAATACTTACAATACTCGCCAAAAATCCGTTTAATTTTAAAGGAAGACCAGGAAGAACTCGGCTTTTCCTCTTTTTCAATTGCCTTACGAATTTGTTGATCCGTTTTTAAATGTGAAGGATATTTGCATAATTCCTTATTACTTTGTAGCCAAATTTTAGGTATTACTTGAATACCATCGGAAAATTCAACCACGATGAATCCTCGATCTGACATCTTCCTGTGAAATTTAAAAAAAGCATTTACGAGTAATCATGTTAACAAAGATATCGATTTGTATAAACTATATATATATATAATATATATAATATATATATATATATATATATATATATATAGTGTGTGTAAAAAAGATTGTCTCAATTCAAAATTTTATCAGAATTTACTTTAATTTTTTATTAAACAAATAAAAACTCAAGATACAAATATTATAAATGTGCAGTACTTATAAACGGTATCACTGCGAAATACTCTTTCATTTTTGTATGGCAATTTTACAAATTTGTAATTGATTTTATTCAAAGGCCATCTTTGAATGTCAGATAATTCAATTACTTTAAAAATGTTTAAATGATTAGAATTACATATATTATTATAAAGTTCTTCAACAACTTTAAATTTACGACTGACTGCAATATAATTGCCATCACTCGATGTTGCAATATTTTCCAAACAGATAATATCCTTTTCTATAAGACAACAATTATCGGAAGATTTGATTGAAATAATAAAATGAGAAAATTCAACCTTTGAAAATTGTGGATTGAAACAACCTGATATTAACGGTCCTTTCTCATGTCGATTCTTTACACATATTTTTGAAATGTCTGCATTGTTAGATTTTACTCATTTCCGCATAGTGATTGTTAATTTACTTTAATGGTTTCTCAGATCTTCTTAAAAGACATTGTAATTCCTTCATAAAATTTTCAAATGAAAAGACGATATCTCGTTGAAATACGCGACGGATATTTGCGCTTCAGCATAATTTTATATATATATAATTTTATTGTTATGTGTTTTAATATAAATGAAAACTATTTAATAAAAATACGAACTACGCACTTGCCTTATATTCTGGATAACTCCTGTTGTCAGATATAGTATCTTAATTCTTTCCTGATAGCAATACGTGCGTCTGACACAATCCGCTGTCTCGGAAGAGAGGATCAGGAATGCGAACGGAGTGCGATCAACAACGTCGTTGCAATCGTCGTTGCTAATGAACAAACATAAATTAATTTACGGCGATATCTTGTTGAAATACGCGACGGATATTTGCGCTTTGGCAAGATTTTATATATGTATATATATATATATATATATATATAATTATTGTTATGTGTTTTATTATAAATGAAAACTATTTAGTAAAAAATACGGATTACGCACTTGCCTTATATTCTGGATAACTCCTGTTGTCCAATATAGTATCTTAATTCTTTCCTGATAGCAATACGTGCGTCTGACACAATCCGCTGTCTCGGAAGAGAGGACCGAGAATACGAAGCGAAGTGCGATCAACAACGTCGTTGCAATCGTCGTTGCTAATGAAGAAACACAAATTAATTTACGGCGATATCTTGTTGAAATACGCGACGGATATTTGCGCTTTGGCATGATTTTATATATGTATATATATATATATATATATATAATTATTGTTATGTGTTTTATTATAAATGAAGAAACTATTTAGTAAAAAATACGGACTACGCACTTGCCTTATATTCTGGATAACTTCTGTTGTCCAATATAGTATCTTAATTCTTTCCTGATAGCAATACGTGCGTCTGACACAATCCGCCGTCTCGGAAGAAAAGAGCGGGAACGCGAAGCAAAGCGCGATCAACAACGTCGTTGCTATGATCAACTATAGCAACGTCGTTGATTATAGCAACGACGTTGTTAATCGCGCTTTGCTTCGCGTTCCCGCTCATTTCTTCCGAGACGGCGGATTGTGTCAGACGCACATATTGCTATCAGGAAAGAATTAAGATACTATATTGGACAACAGGAGTTATCCAGAATATAAGGTAAGTGCGTAGTCCGTATTTTTTACTAAATAGTTTTCATTTATAATAAAACACATAACAATAATTATATATACATACATATATAAAATCATGCCGAAGCGCAAATATCCGTCGCGTATTTCAACAAGATATCGCCGTAAATTAATTTATGTTTGTTCATTAGCAACGACGATTGCAACGACGTTGTTGATCGCACTTCGCTTCGCATTCTCGGTCCTCTCTTCCGAGACAGCGGATTGTGTCAGACGCACGTATTGCTATCAGGAAAGAATTAAGATACTATATTGGACAACAGGAGTTATCCAGAATATAAGGTAAGTGCGTAGTCCGTATTTTTTACTAAATAGTTTTCATTTATAATAAAACACATAACAATAATTATATATACATACATATATAAAATCTTGCCGAAGCGCAAATATCCGTCGCGTATTTCAACAAGATATCGCCGTAAATTAATTTATGTTTGTTCATTAGCAACGACGATTGCAACGACGTTGTTGATCGCACTCAGTTTCGCATTCCTGATCCTCTCTTCCGAAACGGTGGATTGTGTCCGACGCACGTATTGCTATCAGGAAAGAAGATACTATATATTGGACAGGACAGGAGTTATTCAGAAAATAAGGCAAGTGCATAGTCTATATTTTTTACTAAATAATTTTCATTTATATTAAAACACAACAATATATATATAATTATGCCGAAGCGCAAATATCCGTCGCGTATTTCAACGAGATATCGCCGTAGATTAATTCGAGAAGAGAGTGATGAATTATTTCCGCTTATATGTAATAATGAAGAACCTAGAACCAATTCGCGTGTAATTAAAAATAATTCCGTATTGAATAATGACAATGATGAAATTCTACACGCCAATTTTAATAACGCTCTTTCCGCATTTGTACAAGAGACAACAAATTTATCATTTTCCGAGGAAACGAACATTTTCGAATCTGATACTTCCTTGAACAATACATTAGTACGAACTTTTATAATAGAGGATGATAATAATAATAATTTAGAAAAAGAAAACAATGATTTTGAGGCATTTTTAATACAATGGGCTATCACGCATCATATTTCTCATGTAGCTTTATCACATTTATTGTCTGGTTTGAAAAAAGTACATCCAATTTTTTTAATTTGCCAAAATGTGCAAAGACATTATTACGTACACCACGATCTTCTGTTATTACTGATATGTTTCCTGGTCAATATTGTCATATCGGTATTGAATACGGTATTCTACAATTTTTATCTGCAAGTAATGGTATGAATAATAGTACAGTTTTATCTTCTATTAAAATTCAAATCGGTATTGATGGTTTGCCGATATCTCGATCTAACTCGAATCAATTATGGCCCATTTTAGGTCGAATTATGCCTCATAGAAAAGTATTTCTTATTGGTTGCTATTTTGGTAAAACCAAGCCCGCGGATGCAAATGAATTTTTAAAACAATTTGTAAAAGATATAAATGTTTTGATTGATAAAGGCGTAACTTATAATAAAACAACATTTCCAGTTTCAATACACTCTATAATATGTGATGCTCCTGCAAAATCATTCATAACACTTACTAAAGGACATACTGGTTATTTTAGCTGTTCAAAATGTACAATTGAAGGTGAATTTATCGCTAACAGAATTTGTTTTCCCGGTTTTGATTGGCAAAAAAGAACAGACGTGAGTTTTCGTAATCAAATTCAAGAAGAATATCATCTCGGTCGTTCTATTTTATTAAACATTTCAAATTTTGACATTGTATCTCAAATTCCATTAGATTACATGCACTTGATATGCATTGGCGTTGTTAAGAAATTAATAAAATTATGGATAAGTGGTCCTCTTAAATCTAGATGTTTATCATCGCAACGAATAAAAAGTATTTCTCAATCTCTTCTCGATATGAGACGTTTTATTCCAAAAGAATTTGCAAGAAGACCGCGAGAAATTCAAGATTTTGCACAATGGAAAGCAACCGAATTAAGGCAATTTTTGTTATATACCGGTCCGATTGTATTACAAAAAGAAGTAAATTCTGATATATTTTCAAACTTTTTAACTTTACATGTTGCTACTCGCATTTTATGTCAAAATAATAGTACAGTCGAATATATTGAATATGCAAATAAATTATTTAAACATTTTGTTGAATGTTTCATCAAAATTTACGGGCCCGAATTTGTATCCCATAATATTCACGGTCTTCTGCATATAACTGATAACGTAAAACAATTTGGGCCATTAAATACTTTTAGTGCTTTTCCATTTGAAAATTTTATGAAGGAATTAAAATCTCTTTTAAGAAAATCTGAGAAACCATTAGAGCAAATTAACAATCGCTATGCGGAAATGAGTTTTCATAAAATCAAATCTAACAATGCAGACATTTCAAAAATATGTGTAAAGAATCGACATGAGAAAGGACCGTTAATATCAGGTTGTTTCAATCCACAATTTTCGAAGGTTGAATTTTCTCATTTTATTATTTCAATCAAATCTTCCGACAATTGTTGTCTTATAGAAAAGGATATTGTCTGTTTGGAAAATATTGCAACATCGAGTGATGGCAATTATATTGCAGTTGGTCGTAAATTTAAAGTTGTTGAAGAACTTTATAATCATATATGTAATTCTAGTTATTTAAACATTTTTAAAGTAAGTGAATTATCTGACATTCAAACGTGGCCTTTGAATAAAATCAATTACAAATTTGTAAAATTGCCATACAAAAATGAAAGATATTTCGCAGTGATACCGCTTATAAGTACTGCACATTTATAATATTTGTATCTTGAGTTTTTATTTGTTTAATAAAAAATTAAAGTAAATTCTGATAAAATTTTGAATTGAGACATTCTTTTTTACACACACTATATATATATATATATATATATATATATATATTATATATATTATATATATACATAGTTTATACAAATCGATATCTTTGTTAACATGATTACTCGTAAATGCTTTTTTTAAATTTCACAGGAAGATGTCAGATCGAGGATTCATCGTGGTTGAATTTTCCGATGGTATTCAAGTAATCCTAAAATCTGGCTACAAAGTAAAGAATAATGCAAATATCCTAAAAAATTCATTAATATCAAAAAGTAAAAAATACATGAATTATTTTATTTAATACACATAGCTTGGTAATTAACTAGTGTAATTATGTTATATTGCAGAATTTTTTATTTGTTGTCACTATTTTTGTTTAT